CAAGTTATTCCGGACATAGAGCCATTAGGTCAAGGTGTAAACCATTGCATTCCAGTCAATACGCAACTTCCAGTAAGATCGGATCAGTCGATGGATATTAAGGTAGGAGTGACTATTAAATATTAGGATCTGTCATAGTATTGGAATTGAGTTTAGGCGTGTCAGTTAATGATAGTGGCCCGGGTTAAGTTAATTCGGTATTACACACTGGTGTGCAAAAATTAAGGACGAAGTCGAAAAAGTAGCATATCAGCTGAACGAAGAGGCAGAGCGGACAGAAAGACCAATCAGGAGATTAAGTAAGGTGATGTACAGTAGCACATGCGCAGATATGCAGGTAGACGTAATGGGGGAGAGTCTGAGTAGTATAAAGCATGTTGTCGGTGTAAGATCAGTATTTCTGGCAAAGAGATTGCACGCCGTATAGCAGTTAAAATCACACCCAGTTGCTGCCTCAGCGAGAAATGGAGAATAATCAATATGTTAGACGACATCTGGATGCTTTTACCCGAGGTCGAATGATTGGGAAGTTGGAGGAAGGCCGCAGTGTGACAAGTGTGGCTGCAGAGTTCGGAATTGCTCACAGTATCGTTTCACGACTTTGGAGACAATTTCAAACTGCAGGAACAGCTATCCGGGGGTTCAGTAGTGGTCGTCCACGAGGAACCACACCCGCAGATGACCGGTACATTGTCTTACAGGCCAGAAGAAACAGGCGGAAGACAGCGGGAGAAATCGCTAGACACACGACACAGGCGACTGGACGACCGATATCGCGTTTTACCGTGGCCAGAAGACTGCACGGTGGTGGTCTGTTTGCACGACGCCCTGTACAGTGTGTACCTTTAACGCCTGCCCATCGGAGAAGCCGTTCTCTGTGGTGCCGGGAACACCGGAATTGGAGAGACAATGAATGGGGACGAGTACTCTTTACAGATGAGAGCAGATTCAGTTTCAGTAGCGATTCTCACCGCATACTCATCTGGAGAGAGCGGGGAAGCCGCAATCATCCCTCGAACATCATTGAAAGGGACAGGTATGGAGACAGGTATGGAGACAGAAAGGACCCGTTATTGTAACGAGATTCTTCTTCCATATGTGCGTCTTTTAGAGGCACTATGGGTCTGCAGTTCTTTTTCTTGGACGACAATGCACCATGTCATCGCACAGTAGCTGCCGAACAGCTCTTAGAGAGTGAGGATATTGAACGTATGGATTGGACGGCACGATCTCCGGATCTCAATCCCATCGAGCATGTATGGGATTTTCTAGGCAGACGCTTGGCAGCTCGTACCTTACCACCAGTAACGATTCGGGAGCTTCGATTGGCGCTGCAAGACGAATGGGCAGCAATGCCTCAACAACTCATTGACACCCTCATTCTCAGCATGGGCAGACGCTGTGAAACCTGCCTAGCAGTCAGGGGAGATCATATCCCCTACTAAAGACCGGATGTTTCTTGCTGGACACCCATCACAGGGATGTTTCGGCCTTCAGTCGCATTGCGCTCCATGCTACTTTTTCAATCAAGCTTCTTTTTATCCCTCTGATTTCTCTTTTAGTAAGTGTTGCTTACATTACACATGTCCTTACGTATTGGGGATCTTACGGTATTAAATGTGTTGATTTGGAAAGCTTTTGTACAAAGTTATATTGAAAAAACCGTCTCATCCTTAATTTTTGCACACCAGTGTATATATTGTGTGTGTTTAGCCACCGTAGATTCTCTCACATGTATTATTATTATCTAAATCTGTTAGATGCTTAAGTTTTAAGATCTTAATAAAGTCAAATTAAGATCATATCAGCTTCTAGTTCTTCCGTTATTCCTACACCTCTAGCTCACGCTGATGATCAAGAAGAAGGGCACCCGAGGGGGGCGCCCTTACAATGTTTGGTTGCTATTTTTATCATGCATATTATAATTTTTTATCGTGTGAACCTTATTCACCCGTTGAGTCCCTTTTAGAAGATTTTAATTCCATTTTTTTTTTACAAACGTAATAATTTTCATACTTTACGTTGTCAAGGTTGTAGCTTTCGTATCCTACCATTTATTTAAACATGAATATTTGGAACATTATTGGTAAGTAACAGGATTTTTCTAAAAAAAAGAACATGGGAACTCTGCATTTAATTTTCATGGATCAAAAAGATTGCCAAATTCGCACATTCTGTCTTTTTGTTACCTAAAAGAGTTTTTTTTCACCCTCTCATTTCTTGGTTAAAATTTCACCCATTCCAGCTGTTATGAAATGTGATACGTAAAACAGATAAATGAAAATTATTTACAGACGAAAATTTAACCAACGTATATTTTATTGTGGATCTTACGGAGAAATCTGCGTGGCCACAATAGTAAATCTATCAGGCATAATTCTTTTTTTCACTCTGGCAATAAATTGAGGATTTCTACTATATTTCAATTTTAATTTATATTAATGAACGTTCCTATTTCGATGAAATTCATAGAAAACTAGGAATTTTCTTGACTCTTATTTATTTATTTTTGTTGTTTTCATTTGTTTTTACATTCCTTTTTCGAAAATTTATTCTGCCTCTTTTTCCCCCTGGTATATTTTTAAATACCTCATATTCTATTTTTTTTTAATCCTCAAGCTCGTATTTTTTTAATTTGTTTTTTCACAAAAAAAGTAAATAAATTTTTACTTAAATTATTCTTTTCTTTTTAAATCAATGTACCGTAAAAACCGGCGTATAACCGGCACCTCTCTTTTTGCGAAGAAACCTGAAATGTAAGCGCGCAGTACTCTTATGTTTTGAAGTCATTTTTTAGATGTATTATGCCAAGCTTTTGAAAAAAATAGTATACTTCTAGAAGAACAATCTTATAAGTTCATAAGGAATGTTATTTCTTTTAAATAAGCGTATTTCGCGCGCGCGATCTATGTAGAAAAGTTTAATTTTTTTTCTATAATCATCTTTCTTATTATTTTTAAAGGTCTCATTTTTATACTCGGCGTATAACGCGTACCCATGAGAATTTCGAGTCTATTTTTTGTGTTGAAAGTGCGCGGTATACGCCGGATTCTACAGTAATTTAACTCTTTCGTCAGTAATAAGCCATTCTTTTAAATTATTTTCATGTCGAGATCTTAGTGCTTGCCCGCGATCTTGGATTGAAGACTACTGGCACTCTAAATCTAATTTAACGCGATTTCAAAACCGCGCCAAAAAGACATCCGGCCGTGGTATATTAATAACAAATTAGTTCTTTTGGGGGAGGGAGGAGAAAGGGGGATAACTAGCACTAAAAGTAATTAACTGAGTATACTATGTGAATAACAATGAAGTTTTATTATCCTTATTTGTCACTTATTTTTACTAAAATTGATATCGAACAAAATTTACTTCACGAATTAACGACAAATCAACTTAAGATACAAAGCCATTATCAGCCACAATTAGACCAAGGGACAGTATTCACCCAAATAGGCCTTTTATTCATCTGACTTCCATTCACACAACCTGTAGAATACATTGTTTAATTTAATACCTAACAGTCCATTAAAATTATAATGAAAATCTGAGGAAAAGACAGGTCTGGAACATGCGACCTTCCAGTTACCAAAGTCCTAAAATCCATTTTCCAACTACATCCCGACTGCCACAATTATGGATACAGAGTTACATCAAAGCAAAATATAATGTTTTTACTAAAAATGAAAACTTATAATCAAAAACTTCACAAGCGTTAAAAGTAATCAAACATCACATAGAAAGATATATTAAGAAAGCAATAGCCATGCATTCTAACATGTCAAGCATTAGCTAGAAATGATAATCCAGAACAGAAGAAAATCAAAACGGGGGAAAAACTGTAGTCAAAATGACTTCGAAGCACGATATTTTTACACTTAACATAATTAAAAAGTTCAAAACTCTGCATGAAAAACAGAACTATTAAGTAATTCCCAAACCATTTAATACAATTACATTCAAACTTCCAAGCGCATTCAGCTCACTTTAGTAGAAAAGAGTGAGATAAAAGTTATTCCAAAGTTTCTTGCCACACCGGAATAGTTAATCCGCTTACATAACGGTTGTTCCTCTGTATTGTCGAGAGAATTCACTTTCCGAGATAGACAATAACACCGAAAGGGGATAAAACGTTTTCTGCCCTAAAGACACGACTTGGGGGCTGATCAATACCGATTTAAATGTCCTGAGTGCACTCAAAATGCGTTCTTAAAGAAAAAGGAATGGAATTTGAAAGCGCATCTGTTAAACTAATTCTTACACGAGTAAAATGCTAAGTAATTTTTGACAATTAAATAAATAATTAAATATTAAAATAAACTTAGCACAATTCACATTTTCCCCCAACTTTAATTTATACTTATTTTAAGTTCCTGTCACAAAATATTTAGTGAAAAATAATCGTGAAAAGTAAGTGATAAGTTGGAACTGGATTTTAATCTTTATTAAGTCACAATCTTAAAAGGATTAAAAGGAATTTTTAGGATAATAGGTATTGTGTAATAGTTTAAAGTTCGGAAGTCATTTAGATCGTAAAATGAATAGTTACATAAACAACTATAGTTTCGAAAATAATAGAGTTAATGGCTGTTCGAATGACAGTTTTTAAACTTTGCAAAACTGTTGATCACATAATTGATAAATATTTTGAAAGCATTAGTTAAAATTGATAAATCTATAGGTGTCTCTTTTTGATTTATATATTATTTAAAGAAAGCAGTAATATAAAAAAAATTCAGTCAATTCCTACTTAGGTCAGCCAAGAAAATTTTTATTTTAGTTACTTTTTATCAAATAATTACAATTAATATAAATATGCATATACATATGTCAGAATCACAAATTAAGTGAAAAAATACAAAGCGATTTTCCTTAAAATTTTCAATTTTTCTTTCTATATATGGTGTTGGACTATTTTTTTTTGTTACCATTTATTCATAATAAATTTAATTATTCTAATAAAGTAGCATAATAAAAATGAAATCACATTCTCAGAAATTAGGCCATCCCAGGTGGGATTCAAACCCACGACATTTGAATTGGAAGTCCAACACACTATCTCTTGCGTCACAAGGTCACAACGAACAATTTTTCTTTTTATATATACTGTTGGACTATTATTTTTGTTTGCTACTATTTGTTCATTTTTTAATTTAATTAATGGATTAACATTTGAAAAAACTGTATTAACATCAAGTGTCATCCACTACGAGTTTAAAAATTTATTTAAACTCGAACGGATGAATAGAACGTATTTTATTAGCGTGATTGAAAATTATATATGACAGGGTGAACTAATAGTAGGAATTGAAAAATGATGGTTTAAAAATAAATAAATCTCAGACATCAGAAGATAAAATTCTGAAAATTAGAACCCAGAACATATGAGACCTATTAAGGTATCCGACTACGTTCGGAGCCGTGATTTTAAAAAGCACATAAATGGATAATTTTCATATTTAGTGTCACTTAGATTAGAATACATTTATAAAATTGTTTTAAGGACATGACTAAAAAAAATGTTTAAATGCAATATCTTGGCAAAAAATAAACTCAGAATAAACTTTTTTCAAAAATCCTCCTTTTATAAAAAATGCTTCTATAATAATAATATTTTGCTTAGATAAAGTAAATACTTCTCCAGAGAGTCTGAACTAAGATTTTTGAAAACTTCACATTATTTTCAGAGTTACCATCCATTGAAATAATTATCCGCGTTTTTTCCTTAAGATTTCTTCTCTCTGTTGCAGTAAAAGATGGATAACTCCACTTCTAAGTTATATGTTTCAAAGATTTTAGTTCAGCCTCTGTACAGAGGTCTGAGCTATATACAAGCAAAATATTATTATAATAGAAGCATTTTTCAAAAAAGGAGAATGTTTTGAAAAGGAGCCATTCTATGTTCATTTTTTGTCAAAATATTGCACTTAAATAATTTTTTATTGTAATAATATTCTTAAAACAATTTTATATATGTTTTCTAATCTAAGTGACACAAAATAAAGGGTGTTTTTTTAGAGGTATAGAACTTTAAATTGCAATAAAACAACGATATATTATTCGATTGACATGAATGTTTTTTTATTCGAAAGAATCTTGTGGCATTACGTTTTGAATATGATTTCTGGCATAGGACTACCACGGCTGGCTCGGATGTAGTCCAATCTGGACGTCCAACTTTCGATGACTTTTTCCAACATTTGTGGCCGTATATCGGCAATAACACGGCGAATGTTGTCTTCCAAATGGTCAAGCGTTTGTGGCTTATCCGCATAAACCAATGACTTTACATAGCCCCACAAAAAATAGTCTAGCGGTGTTAAATCACAAGATCTTAGAGGCCGATTCACAGGTCCAAAACGTGAAATTAGGCGGTCACCAAACGTGTCTATCAATAAATCGATTGTGGCACGAGCTGTTTGATATGTTGCGCCGTCTTGTTGGAACCACAGCTCCTGGACATCATGATTGTTCAATTCAGGAATGAAAAAGTTAGTAATCATGGCTCTATATTGATCACCATTGACTGTAACGTTGTGGCCTCATCGTTTTTGAAGAAGTACGGACCAATGATTCCACCAGCCCATAAAGCGCACCAAACAGTCAGTTTTTCTGGATATAACGGTGTTTCGACATACACTTGTGGATTAGCTTCACTCCAAATGCGGCAGTTTTGTTTGTTGACGTAGCCATTCAACCAGAAGTGCGCTTCATCGCTAAACAAAATTCGCTTATGAAGTCATCGAAAATTGGACGTTCAGATTAGACTACATCCGAGCCAGCCGTGGCAGTCCTATGCCAGAAATCATATTTAAAATCTAATGCCACAAGATTATGTTTCGAATAAAAAAAAATTCATGTCAATCGAATAATACATCGTTGTTTTATTGCAATTTAAAGTTCTATACCTCTAAAAAACACCCTTTACAAGAAAAATAATAAACGTGCAAAAACCAAAAATATCGAATAACAAATAAGTCTAAAACTAACACGTGTATTCGAACAGAATGTAAACAAATAAATATTTCGTTTTCACTGATTTTCATATTTTATTGTAATAATAGAGCATCATATTTTATAACTAATTGTTCCGATTGACTTATTTTTTTCACACAAAGGAACATTATCACTTTCTTAACTGTTGGGGGAGCACTCTTAAGCTACACGAGGGCTTTCAGCGACGGACCTCACACACACAATTTTGAAACATGGTTAAGTGAAGAGGATGATACCTGAGCTGGCACCCCCTCATCATACTCTCACAGCCTCGATAGATTTAACATACATCGTCCCAAACTGCAAGGCGGGTCTTCAGGGATACCAGGATCGAACTCATAACACGCCGACCAGAGTTTGTAACTTTGCCCACTATGTTACCTTGGGTACCTTAACTTTTCAGACAGATTGTGTATTACAAATATTCATAAAAGAAGGGGGTAATGAAAGTTCATATATAAACCAATTCAACGCTTATAATCAAATCCATACGCATCGAAAGATTAAAGAAATAGCATAGATATAACCCTAGTACAGAAAATACCATTTCATTAAAAATTATTTTACTGTCAAAATAATATCAATTTTGAAAATGTTACTCTGGACATTCTTTCTGATATTGTATTTGGCATCCAAGATAAAACATTAAAAATAAGCTAAGTTTACAATCTACAGCCATTTTGAATTTTTTAAAAGAATGTTACTCCTATGAAACTTCTACTTTCTTACACAAAATAATTCTATAAACTTTGCATAAACTAATAAACGTTTCTCAATAATTAGACTTTTCCTACCATTTAGGTAAATAATTTAATATATGTTTCAATCATTCCTTAGTAGGATTTCAGATCTTCAAAGAAGTATTTAGAAATGTTTTCAAACGTCGAGACAAAAAATGAAAATCTAGGGAAATCTCCAGATGCACTTGACTGCATTCAAATTGATGCACCAGTGAAAGTGAGGGGGCAAAAATAGCAGAAATTCCTTGGAAATAATATTATCGTCACAAATTCAAAATCCCAGGGTGAAGTAAGACTTCCAAGATGAAACAAAGATATCGTGCAGGTGCTTCCAAATATAATCCACCGAAGAAAAAAAATCTTCTTTCGTTTTTTCCAAATGTAGATCGTTTTTTCATCCTGTATCATACGCTTTTATTTGCAACACTATTAGGATTTTCCTACCCGCTTGCAATATTTCTTTCGTAAATCTGAATTTGGATTCATCTTTGTTTAAAACTTCCCCGACCTCTACCGTTTCATTGATCAAAAAACACCATTCACGTATTATTTATAGATAAAGTTTGAATATTACCACCTCCGCTTTACCAACACACTTTAAAGTATAACCAAAAAGTTACAGCCAGATAGAGTAGATTTGAGGACAGAATTTTATAAAATTTTAAAGAGTTAAAAAAGGAAGGGAATCAGCGATTTTTTTTTCCTCCTTTACGTTTAGTACACTTTTAAAACACAGTGAAAAATATGGAGCATAATTTTATACAGTATACTTACGATAAACAGAAGGCAAACTTCTTAAAATTGACTAAAAAGCAAAGTTTAAAAATACCTATTTTTGAAAAAAAAAAAAAAAAAAGGATACGCTACAAAATACCGTCGCAGTTCCTCCGATTTTTCCAGAGAGGTTGGAATGTGGAGTTTAACACCCGAGAAAACATTCGGTAGATCCTGAAAGAAATATTTTTTTTTAAAAAAAAAAAAATGTATATTGCGATACACATTTTTATTGAAAATACTTTGCAGTCCTTTCTTAAAGATTCTTGCAAAATAAACAGATTTTTGAACAGAGAAAATATACCAATAAAAACTTATACTAGGTATGCACGCCAGTTATTTATAAAATCTTATTTGACTAATAAATATGCTGTGTGATCTTTTATACATATTAATTTCACTATCCATAATTAGTTACACTATTTAAAAAATATCGAAAACATAATAAATCACATAACTAATTCGAACTTAATTTTGATTAATTCCATGTAATTATTATGCTTTGATAAAGCAAACCTGATTATGCATATGAAAATAAAGGTCAGAAGGGAGGCATTACTTAATAAAAGTTTAAAAATTAATAAAATTGCATATTGCATGTGAATGAAAATCGGAATGGTGAAATTTATATAAGGTTAACTTCAATTTGACTTTCCAAAAGAGAGTTTGTAAATCAAAAGAGTAAGAAGAGTTCGAATTCGAATACATATGAAGCGCGATTGAAAAAAATATAATTATTTAATATTGCTTCAAATTTTAATATTTTCATTCCATCCAAGTACCTTTCGAACATTTTCTGTACAGGATGACGGAACTTCTCGATGATAAATGCCTCAAAATATGTATGTTCTCAAATAGAAAAGATGTCCATATTAAAAATAAAATTTATTATATCAGAGTAAATCATGCAAAAATAAATTAAATTAAGTCAGAGTATATGAATTATTAAATTTATAAACAATAATAAAACGCTCACAAATGACATAAATAATACCCACAAATGCCCACTTCTTGCCAAATAAATGCAACAAAAAATCAATAGAGAGGGGAGAAAAGTGATTCATTCATCACACAATATCGCCAGAACTATTAAACCAACGGATTTGAAATTTGGCAGAGATGTTTCTTTTGTTGAACCGAGATCGGCTAAGAAAGGTTTTTGCAAAATTGACTCCCAAGGGAGGTTGTAGGGGTGTTACAAACAAAAATTCTCTTTTTTGAATTATTAGACCGTAAGAATTGAAATTAGGCGAGCATGTTTCTTTTTTTTTTTTTTTTTGAATAGAGATCCGCTAAGAACATATTTTAAGAAAATTAACTCCAAAGGGGAGGGTGATACCACCGTTTAAAAATTAAAGTCAACAGCTCATGAGGGCCAAGGCCCAGTGTGCCTATCTCAGTATACGTGACCTTGGGCGCTGAGACGCATAACCAGATGTTCTGTCCAGGTGGCCAATTTGACGCGAAACCTCCATGGGCTGTTGCACCACTGAGTTTAGTTTCCAAGCAAATATGTTTAAGAAAATAAATATGAACACTCAAGTATTATGAATTTTTCAAAGACAAA